TTGGTCTGCAGACTGGCTGCCAGCCGGGTCGGACCGCGCGGCCAGGGATGTTTGGCTGCGTATTTGCATGAGCTTCCCACCCACCTGAGCCCAGCCCTCCAGGCCGCCCCTCACCCTCACCCCTGTCTGGCGTGACCCCAGCCTCGGCCTCTTTCTAAGGGACTTCCTCAGCACATTTGTATTTTTATATCCGACTCTTTGTTTACTGGCTCCCCTCATGATTAGTGCCCTCCCCCCTCGGTCTCGTCCTTGCTCTTCTGCGCCTGGCAGATAGGACGAGTGCTGAGGGTGGGCATGGACAAGCCCCCAACATGGTAACCAACATGTGGCAGTCTGCCCAGGCCCGACCCCAGGCGGCTCTCTGGCAGACCCCTCCCCTCCAGGTATCACCTTCCAAGGGCCCAGGTCTGATTTTACCCTGGACCCCTGCACCCTGCCCCTGGGAACCCAAATGGGGACTGATCTGCACCCTTGGATGACACCTGTGGCCCTAGAGATGTTTTCACCCAGGGGTGTCCTTTGTAAATGTTCCTCCATCCTCACTGTACCAGGAGTGTGTGAATAAACACAGACCTCCCTGTGTGTGTGTGGCTATTGCTTCGGTTTGCTCAGGGGTCAGGCAAAAATGGCTCTAGTCCCTTTTGGGGAGGGGAGTGGGTACTTGAGCATCAGGTGCATGTTGCTGGCAGGGAAGAGTTGCCAAGAAAACACAGCAGGCAGCCTTGCCCGAGAACATTACAATGTAGCATTCTTGGGTAAATATACAACCAGAACAGGATAGGTCACCAGAGCTGGGGCTGGAGTTAGGGTCAGAATTGTAAAGCAATCTAGATTCAAAGTCTGCAGCCTCCTGTGGATAAATCCAGGTTGAAGGGGATGGGGAGGCAACAACAGGCCCTGGGGATGCAGGTCTCTGAGTCTGGCTGGCAAGCAGCGGGGCTGTGGTGGATTCCATATGGTGGGAGAGGAATTTGGGGAGCCCAGGAGAGATCTGAGAAACCCAAGAAGCCAGAAACCTGTGATTTGAGATGTAACTTAGCCTGAGCTATATTGTTTCATGTGGGGTTGCTTTCATCAGCTCTGTCTTAGGCATCAGGCCCCTGGGATGTGAGCACCATGGACCCAACCCTAAGCCCTGAGTCAGGAATTACGACAACTTGAGGAGTCCAGGGCAGAAAGGTAAGGAGGACTCAAGGACCATGCTTCTGGCCTCACAGCTGAATGGCACTGAGGAAGTCCTCATGATCTGAGTCCTGGAGAAAGCAGGGTGAGGTGGGAGGTCTGGGGGATGAGAGGATCTGTGTCCCAAGAGCCAGCTGGGCCACACTCAGCTCTTTGCCCTTGTGCATGAGGTAGAGATGGAAGTGGAAACCGTTGCCATAGGTTGCATGCCTTAGGGACCAGCCATAACGGGCTTGGGCATAGTGTCTAGTCCGAAAATGGGGGGCAGCAGAGGTCAGCGAGATGAACCGGCCTCCAGGGACCAGCACTCGGCTCACCTGCAAGGCAGACAGAGAAGCCAATGGTGAGGACTGCATCTTCAGGTTCTCAAAGGTCAGTATTGTCCCAGTTGACCTCCCAGATACTACTCTACATCCAGCTCTCCATGGCAAATTGAGCCTCCTTCTGTGTCCCTAGTCATGCCATGGGGTAGGGCTATATTCTAGACAGGTAGGAGCATGGGAGTGATGTCAGGCCAGGAGGTACTGCTTTCCTGCCAATTGCCCTCCCTCTCAGTCTGTTACCTCTCTGGAACCTGGCTGCTATGCCATCCCTACGGCATCCCAGTAGCTCTGTGCAGCTGGCCACTCCAGCCTCCTATAATCCTGACCAGTGTAACTCTCCCCTTCATTCAGGTAGCCACAGTCCTGAAAGTGACTGCTCCAAACCACGCCTCCTCTGGCTTCGAAGTTCATCCAATCTCCTGAAACCTCAACCCCTCACCCCCACCTCTTGGTCTGCTCTCCTCTCTTGTTGCTCCCTCACCTCACTCAGCACCTGGTCCACAGTGTGGACCCCTTCAGAGGACACGGTCCAGGGATCCCGTTCTCCAGCCAACAGGGCATCCAGCGTGCCCTTCTCGAGCACCACATCGAAGGAACCGTTGGGAAAGCCCAGTGCCCGTATGTCCATGGTCTCCCAGCGCAGGTTGGGCACATGAGCGTAGCGAGCCCGCATGGCGCCCACCACTACTGATGAGTAATCCACACTGGTCACGTCAGGGAAGCCCCCAAGGTACAGCTCGTAGCTCAGGGCACTGTTTCCACAGCCTGGGTGGGAAAAGGTGGGTAGCAAAAGAGCTAGGTTAGCTTTTATTTTTTTCCATATATATTATTATTATTTTATTATTATTGATTTCAGAGAGGAAGGGAGAGGGAGAGATAGAAACATCAATGAGAATCATTGATTGGCTGCCTCCTGCATGTCCCAAACTGCGGATTGAGCCTGCAACCCGGACATGTGCCCCACCCGGGAATTGAACCGTGGCCTCCTGGTTCATAGATTGACGCTCATCCACTGAGCCACGACGGCTAGGTGAGCTAGGTTAGCTTTGATTCTCCCCTCCCCAATTATCCATCCACAATTGGCCCATTTTCTCACAGCCCAAACCCTCCTGTGCTGAGGAAGAAGCAGTGCGGTACAGAAAAGAGCATGAGGCTTGGAGTCATGCAGACGTGGGCACATATCCCGGCTCTGTCATTCCTAGATGCGTGAATTAGGAACTTGGGTTTCGTATTCAGAAAAAGGAAGATAACAAGACCAAGCCTGCATGCAGGATAAGCTGCACTGAATTTTAAGACCTAAAACAGCTGAAGCTCTGAACGTAGTTCAAAGGTCTGGGTTCTGATATTCCTAGTCACACTGCGTTGGCAAGTCACTCAATTCTGAGCCTCAGTTTTCTCAGACTCAGAATGGGACAATATTGGCATCGTTAGGTTCATAGTGTTATCATTAGGATATTAATATTACCCTAATACCGGACCTCCCAGAGAACCTCAGGAAAACTTCAAGTTAGGGGTTATTATCCTATTTTGTTAATAAGTGAAAGGGAAGCTAGGTGGGGACACAGTGGAGCTGATCCCTTGTAATTCCTTAATGCGCAATTGAGCACTACATATTGTATTCTGCTGAGTAAGAGTCCCTGACCTTAAGGAGCTCATGCTTTGGTGGGAGGAACAGATGTGTAATCAGGCAATTGCCATGTGATGTGATGAGTGTTTCAATAGGGACAGGCTGCGGGAGCACATAGGATGATCCCTGTCCCCACTTCAGGGGGGTTGGGCAAGGGTTTCAGGGAAGCTGACAAACCAATCAGTCTTGAAGAATCATAATACTGGTGGGAAGTGCCTGAAAAACAGTCCCAAAGAGGACTGGGTCAGGTGAAAGACTAGGTGGAGGTTAGAGGCACCGATGCGATCCATAGTTCAGACAGCATGGCTTTCTTCGAAGACCTGTTGGTTTCTTCCAGGCCCTCTTGTGGTCAGTCTCAGCCTGAGACCAGGGCTGGATGACAGCCCTTGTTGGCCCCACATGGGGATGCCCAGCTCTTGGGATTAGATTGCCTTTAATCCCTATTTGTGTCTTTAAGAGGATCACAGTATCAGCTGTGGGAATAGCCCTAATCTAGCAGGGCTTGGTACCAGGCCAGAGCACCCAGAGGATGCTGGCTGGTCCTCAGCTGACCTTTCCTGTGTTCTTTTTTTAAAAATTTTTTTAAATATATTTTTATTTATTTCAGAGAGGAAGAGAGAGATAGAAACATCAATGAGAGAGAATCATTGATCGGCTGCCTCCTGCACACCCCCTACTGGGGCTCAAGCCCAAAACCTGGGCATGTGCCCTTGACAGGAATCAAACCTGGGACCCTTCAGTCCCCAGGCCAATGCTGTATCCATTGAGCCAAACCGGGTAGGGCTCCTGTGTTCTTTCTCAGGCCCCGGGGCTCAGGCAGACTGTCGCACCTGAAAAAAATTAATGTGTGCTTCCTTACAGCAAGCTCTGGTAGATACACTACATGGGATGGGTGGTGAGAGTGGCTGAACAAGAGACCCTAACTCAGTGCAGGTGTCACCCCACTGGGTTCTCTGATCCACAAATCCTTACCACCCTACACTTGACCTCATGCCTGCAGAGATCTGCCCAACTATAGACAGACGCAAATATCCTTCCCCCGCCTTTCCTTTAAAATGTGTTTATTGATTTTCTTACAGAGAGAGGAAGGGAGAGGGAGAGAAAAAGAAGCATTGATATGAGAGAGAAACCTTGATCCACTGCCTCCTGCATGCACCTTACTGGGGATTGAGCCCACAACCCTGGCATGTGCCCTGATTGGGAATTGAACCAGTGACCTCTGGGTTCCTTGGTTGACGCTCAACCAGAGCCACGGCAGCTGGCAAATATCCTTCCTTTATTTCCCTCCGTAAAGGAATGGTATCTCCCAAGAGAACTTCACTAAAGATGAAGGAAGAACAAAATCTGACCACAGGGCCAGTCATGCTTACAAAGCAGTGATTTCTGATCCTGCTGCCTCAGTGATTTGGGGCTAGCAACTAAGGTGGGGTTTGGGAAGGCCCCTGCCTCCCTAGGTGGAGCCTTAGGGAAGTAGAGCCCAGAGAACTGAGCCAGCCTCAAGAACCCATCACATGGGAGTCCAGAGCTATGTGGATGCTATCCCAACACCAAGAGAAGGAGGTGTCAGCCAGAATGCCAATTCACTAATTTATAACGAGAAAAATAGCCACCATGGGGACTTGACAGTCCATCCTCTGGTCAGTCCCTTCTCTATATATAGAAAATACAAATTGAAGCCAAATTATGATAAGATTCCTGAGGAACATGGAGAATCAGAGATGTATAATGACGGCAAAGCTAGGACAGCCACATGCATTCATCTGTTATGAGGATATTGTAGCCATAGGGACCAGACACACAAGTTCCCAGGCAGGGTGCTCTCTGTCCTCTGAATGGTCTGTGATAAACTGCCCCTCCAATTCCCATTTTTAACAATAATAATAATGATAGCTAAGAGTCACTGGACACTGGGCCCTCTGCTAAGCATTTCTAAGCATTATCTCAGTTTATCTTCACACTACCTTCACATAGACGGTAACTGCTATTATCATTACCATTTTCTAGATGGGAAAACTGAGGCTGCCCAAAGTATATAAGAAACTTCCCAAGGTCACATAGTCCAGTGGCAGAGTTAGAATTTAGATCTAGGCCTGTTTCACGCCAGAATCAGAGCTCTTAAACCACTACGTGAAACTGTCTACCAGTTTTCAAGAGGTCCACTCACCTTCAGTTGTGACATTCCATCTTTAGTCATTTTACTAATTATAACTGAGTTCTAGATGACTCTCTATGCCCATAAACATGGTGCAGCAGCAGAAGCTCTGGAGTCAGGTGGCACCCTTATGTACCACTTACTTGCTACATGACAACCGCGGACACTGTCTGTGCTCTGATCAGATCCGCTTGAAGTGTGTCTAGGTTTTGGTGTGTGCTCGATTCTGACAGTTTGCATCTGTGACTCTTCAGGCTGAACTACCCTCAGGGAAACTTTTGCCTGTGATCACAATCCTGCTTGGTCTCTTCCTTCCCTATTCCCTCACTCTCTGACTGATTTCTTCTGGGAGCACATCCCTAACAAATAACTAGGAGACGAATCATAATCTTAGGATTTGTTTCTGGACCCAGCCTGAGACAATGACCTGCAGCAGGGGATACCAAATTCAGCTTGCCACCTGTTTTGGTAAATAAAGTTTTCTTGGAATATAGCTATTCTCATTCATTTAGGTACTGTCTGTAGCTGCTTTTCTACTACAACATCAGTACTGACTAGTTGTTAGAGAAACTGTATAGCCCACAAAGTCCTAAATCAGTGATGGCGAACCTATGACACGTGTGTCAGAGGTGACACGTGAACTCATTTTTTGGTTGATTTTTCTTTGTTAAATGGCATTTAAATATATAAAATAAATATCAAAAATATAAGTCTTCGTTTTACTATGCTTGCAAATATCAAAAAATTTCTATATGTGACACGGCACCAGAGTTAAGTTAGGGTTTTTCAAAATGCTGACACGCCGAGCTCAAAAGGTTCGCCATCACTGCCATAAATATTTACTATTTGGCCATTTTCAGAAATAGTACTGACCCCTGATCTACAGTAAGTCTAGTAATACTTATTACTCACTTCTCAGTGTTGTCATAAATATTAAATAAGTTAGAAAATGCCCACCCAGCACATTCCTACCACCTACCGGGTGCTCAGCTTGTTTGTTAAAGTGGAATGTAACATAGGTATTTCCCAAGTTGTGGGTCCTCTTTTTATTTATTTTTAAAATATATTTTATTGATTTCAGAGAGGAAGAGAGAGAGAGAAACATCAATGATGAGAATAATCATTGATCAGCTGGCTCCTGCATGCCCTCTGGAGGTTGAGCCCAAAACCCTGGCATGTGCCCTGACCAGGAATCGGACTGTGACCTCCTGGTTCATAGGTCAATGCTCAACCATGAGCCACACAGGCTGGGCTGGGTTCTCTCTTTAGATCTTGGGAATAATGTCTGGAAAGTTTTCCTTTTCTATTTTTAGACTTTTCTCCCCTCTCCAGAAAAGAATACCTTCCTGTCTAGGAGATTTTAAGGCAGTATTATTCTCAGCATGAGAATCCGCTGTGGGCTTGCTAAAACTACAGACTCCTAGGACATACCTTAAACTGTCCCTGGATGGGGTCCAGCTTTCCAGGTGATTTTGATGCACACTAAAGCTTTAAAAAATTAGATCTACGGTAAATCTATAAATAAATGTAATGGCTTAAAAGCATAAAATTTGAGTTTTTACTTCTGGGGGGGGGAGGTTTGGGAGGACTACACAGGAAACCTTGAATATACATCGGCCTTTTTATTTTGCCAGGCATTGTTTTGGGTATCTTTCATACTCATGCAATCATCTTTAAAACCCAGTAAATAAGTAATACGGAGTATCTTTTTATTTTAAAGGCTGAGAAAATGGAGGCACAGAAATTTAAGTATTTTTTCCAGGACTACATCATTAAGATTCTGTGATTTTCCCCATTATTCCACAGCTAAGATTACACGAGCCTAGATTCCAACAGAATTAGCTGCCTCCAGGGTCCAAGTTCTTAAGCACTAGGTTATACTTCCTTTCTAGTTTTAGGAATATTCTATTTTTCAAACTGAGTATGGTATACACATACATATTAGATTTACTGTTTATACCTTTCATATACTGTATTACAGATGACATGTATATGAAATACTTTTTTCTTTTTTTTTTAAATTTGAGTGTCATCCTCGCGCAGAGGCCATGCTAATCTTATATCGTTCCAATTTTAGTATATGTGCTGCCGAAGCGAGCACATGAAATATTTCACTTAAACATATAAATGCTTTTACAAATACCAAAATAAAAACTATAATTGGAAGGAAACCCGTTGCTCAATCCAACTTCTCTAGACCGCCCCCCCAAGGCTGGCACTGGGACAAAGCCCCATCTTGCGTCCTAGTACTCTTTCCTGGAATCTCACCAATCTCGGTTGCAATATCCCCTCTGACCTCGGAGGGCGCTGTCCTCCTCACTGCATGCGGGGCATCAGACCGAGTTTCCGAGTTCGGGAAGTGGTAACTCTCTCCAGGTGACAACAGCTCCCGGTGCCCATTGGCGCAAACAGAAAGATGCTATGCACTGCGCTCGAGGTGCCTGCATGTGCCTTATCCGACTTGAGCTCGCAGTTCCATTTCTAGAAGTGACTCCGAAGCTCAGTTTACGACCTGTCCTAGTCATAGAGCCAACTAGCGTAGGGACTTCCTAGACCTCTGAGCTCTCCAGTGCTCGCGGTTCCTTCCGAGGGGCCCCGGCTCACCTACCACGCTGACTCAGAGAGACTGTCGTGTTGTGGGGGGACAGGGAACTGACTCCAGGTTCTGAAGGTACTGGATCTTGGCTCCTGATCTGGGCATCCTCAGTCAGGGGCAGACAGACGCGAGGAAAGCGGACGGGGGCGCCGAGGCGAAGCCGGTCCCGCCAGCTCCACCTGTGCTGGGCAGTGCCGGGACTACCCACCTAACACGAGGATACGGTCCTCGGGTCGCAGCTCCGGCTCTAGGAGGGCACGGAAAGAGGAGAAGTCCCCGAACCACTCGTAGGGGGCAGAGTCGGCCGCGTCCCGGTAGCGCTGGTCCCAGTACTGGACCTCTCGGTACCCGGAGTTCTGCTCCGGTAACTCCGGCCGGGGTTCGGGGGCCCCGGGAGAGGCCATGCTTGCTGCTGCCGGGCCTGGAGGGCAGTCGGCCGGCACCTTTAGGCGGGGCTTGGCTCCCCTGGGCAGCCAGTCTGAATGGTAATATCTTAGGGGGCGTGGCCTTTGAGTCTCCGCCCCCCAGTGAGGTTGCTCAACATAAACACGTGGAACTTCCGTCCTCTGCTAAGCGCTCTTAGAAGAATCTTCCGGCTGGTTAATCAGGTCGTCCAGACTCGGAAGCTTCCGGCTGTACTTAGAGCGTCAGACTCACTCTGGTTCATCACTGTCCCTTCTCATATTTACAATTTGACAGGCTCCTTACATTAAATATGAAAATTAGTGAAAGATTTTTTTCTTCCCCGTTTTGAGCACCCGGAGGGGTGGCGGGAGGGGCGTGGACACAGGCATGAACACAGATATTATCAACACCGGCGAAGCGTTATGCTGGGCCGGGAGAGATGGGGAGGAGGGGGAGGGGGTTGTTTTTCTGGGCAAATGTTCGATCCATCTTAGCTCCTGGTCGTAGGGAACGTGCAGTCCATCAGGAGAGACCTATGTAGAAGTACATTTAGGAAATAAGGACTCTGGCAACTCGGTTAGGACACTGGCGCGCAGAGCGGAACCTAAGTGCCAAAGGGTCCGGTTTCCAGGGTGGCGGGCCCACATGAACGGTGCACCGACAAGATGGCCGCGGGCGTGCGGAAACGCGCCCGGGCGGGACCCCCGCCCCGGTTGTTGGGACTCTGCGGACAATGGTTGCGGCGCGCCTGGCAAGAGCGGCGTCTACTGCTGCTGGAGCCGCGTTACACGCTGCTGGTGGCTGCCTGCCTCTGCCTGGCGGAGGTGGGCATCACCTTCTGGGTCATTCACAGGGTGGCATGTGAGTGCGCCGCGGGGGAGGGGAGAGGAGGGGCGCGGAAAAGGCGGGAGGGAGGTGGACCCGAACGCCCAACTCAAACCTGGACTCAGATTCGGAGCTCAGACCCCACCCCAGGTCCGCCTAGTCACCAATTGCAGACCCACATCTTTTACCCAAGTTCCAAGCCTGCTCCACAGAAAACCAAACCCGATCTTAATCCACCCACCGCCCCCGTGACGAAAGGGGCGATCCTAGAGATTGGTCCTCTGCCCTGAAGGTGCAGCCCGGCAGGCTAAGAAAGCAAACCAGCTGGATGGCAAAGACCTGGGTCTGTGTTCATGTCCTGCTGCTGCTGCTGCTTGTCGCTGTGGCTTTGGATATGTCACTTCCCCAGCTGGGTCTCATCTGTTCAATTCTGGGGTTTGTTTATTTTTAATTTTTATTATATTTTTAAATTGATTTCAGAGAGGAAAAGAGAGGGAGATAGAAATATCAATGACGAGAGTCATTGATCTACTGCCTCTTGCACATCCCACACTGGGGATGGAGCCCACACCTGGGCATGTGTCCCCACCGGGAATCACACCAAGACCTCCTGGATCATAGGTGATGCTCTACACTGAGCCGTGCCCGCTGGACCTGGAGGCTTTTTAGAGCTGGAACATAGAACTCAAGTGAGGCCAGGACTGAAATGAGATTGCAGAAGTTGAGACCAGAATATAAAGGAGCCAGTAAGCTGTGTTAAGGAGATAGTAGCATACTTAGTGGTTAAGAATCTAGAATCCTATGAATTACAGTTCCAGCTCTGCTCTTCCTAGCTCGCTCATCCTGAGCTCAATAATTCATAGGTTCCTCTTCTAAAATGGCAGCAACAGAGTTTGGTCTTTATCTTAACAGCCTTAGGGAATCATTGAAGGATTTTAAGCAGAGAGACATGATGCGTTTCTATTATAGGAAGAGCTCCTGATTGCAGGGTGGCAAATACATTGTGGTGAGGGGAAAGTGGAAGCTGGACACCTAATAAGGAAGCTGTTGCATCATTGAGGCTAGAGATTATGGTAGGCCCAAATGTTGCTATATCAGTAGAGAAGGATGAGACAGTAAAGATACGTAGAATGAAGAATAGACAGGACATAGTAACTAGGGGTTGGAAATGAGAGAGAAGGAAGTTTCAGTTTTGTGACTTGGGCAACAGGGAGGTTGATGGTGCCATTCATGGAACTCAGGAAGGAGAGCGGATTTAGAGTAGAAGCTTATGAGTTCAATTATAAACATGTTGAGTTTGAGATGCCTGGGTTCACCCAAAGAATGTCAAGTAGGCAGTTAGGTAAGGGGTTGTGATAGAAGCCCTGAGGGTGACCTGGAACTCTGTGCTTCGATGGGTTGGAGGTGTTGGGGGCAGACAGGTTTAGGATCTGGAAGTAACACACCATCCTTTCCTTTTCCAGATACAGAGATTGACTGGAAGGCCTACATGGCTGAGGTAGAGGGCGTCATCAACGGCACCTACGACTATACCCAACTGCAGGGCGACACCGGACCTCTTGTGTGAGTGCAGATAGCAGGTTCAGCAAGAATGTGAGGGGGGCTGACTGGATGCCAGGGTACAAGGCGGGGTATCTTGACCCAGATTCATGTTCCCTCTCATCTTTCAGATACCCAGCCGGCTTTGTGTACATCTTTATGGGGCTATACTATGTCACTGGCCATGGCACTGACATCCGCATGGCCCAGCATATCTTTGCTGTGCTCTACCTGGCCACCTTGCTGCTTGTCTTTTTGATCTACCACCAGACCTGCAAGGTGAGTCCACAGTACCAGGACCTGGGTCTCCACCCTGGGAGGGCTGAGGTTTGGTGATGGCTCAGGGCTGGTGAGCTGACCTTCTTCCCACTGTGCCCACCTCGTAGGTACCTCCCTTCGTCTTTTTCTTCATGTGCTGTGCCTCTTACCGTGTCCACTCCATCTTTGTGTTGCGGCTCTTCAATGACCCAGTGGCCATGGCGCTGCTTTTCCTCAGTATCAACCTTTTGCTGGCCCAGCGCTGGGGCTGGGGTTGCTGCTGTTTCAGGTCAGCATCCCTCCCTTCTGGTCCCCTTTCTTACTTTTTGTATTTCTATCACTTTTCCCCCAAATTTCTGCAGCAAGGGAGTGGCCAGACAATGTGGGTGAGTTAGGCCCCACCAGGTGAGCCCAGGATCTGTAGAAAGTCTCCCCTCCAACCCACAATACACAGAGTTGTACCGGAGTTGGTCATTAATATTCTTACTGTTCAGTATATATTTGTTTGCTCAGTCTGGGCTTAGAGATCAGGTATCTATTCCCTACCCCCAGCTTCCCCCCAGGCTCCCTTACCCTCGCTCCCGCAGTTCTGAGTGTGGGCCCTATCTCCAGGTTGCTGGGGCTGGGGCTCATCGAGCTCTCCTGGAACACATACCCATCCACGTCCTGCGGCTCTGCTGCCCTGCACACCAAGCTATCCTGGAACTTGGTGGTGGAGGGGAGGAGTTGCTGTGATGGTGGTGGTGGGGGTGCATAGCCCTCGAGCTGATTTCCACCCTTATCTCTTCTACACACCCTAGCCTGGCAGTCTCTGTGAAGATGAACGTGCTCCTCTTTGCCCCTGGATTGCTATTCCTTCTCCTCACACAATTTGGCCTCCGTGGGGCCCTCCCCAAGCTGGGCATCTGTGCCGTCCTACAGGTACTCCTGCCTCACCCCTTTTTAAAGATGGCCCGCTTCCTTCCTTGGGACTTCCTCACAGCCAAGGGGCAAGGGTTTTGGAGTTGATTCTGGACTGGGTATCCACTACCTCTCTGGGCTTTGTGTTTTTTTGTTTGGTTGTTTTGGGTTGGTTTTTTTTTCTGTAATATAAGGTTGTTGAACTAGATGATCTCTTAGGGCCTTTCTAGCTCTGCCCATTTATGACTTAAAGTGCTGTCATTACCTGCCTCCTCAGCTTCTTTGGCCCCAGGCTCTGACAGGGGAGGGGTTGGGGGTGGAGGTGGGGGAGGAGTCCTCGGGAATTAAGGAACCTCTGAGACCTACACCCAATTCCCACTCTCCTGACTAGTATGAGGCTGGGGTGAGCCTGTGCAGCTCTGCTGACGTCACATCCATCACAGGTGGTGCTGGGGCTGCCCTTCCTGCTGGAGAACCCCGTCGGGTACCTGTCCCGCTCCTTTGACCTGGGCCGCCAGTTTCTCTTCCGCTGGACAGTGAACTGGCGCTTCCTCCCCGAGACCCTCTTCCTGCATCGCGCCTTCCACCTGGCACTGTTGGCCACCCACCTCACCCTGCTCTTGCTCTTTGTTCTCTGCAGGTGGCACAGGTGAGAAAGGGGAGCAGTGCCAAGGGCAGATGTAGGGGAAGGAGTGAAGGGCCTGGGCCTTAGGGGCTGCTTAGGGGAGATGTTGAGCTCATGGAGGTGAATTTTAGAGCATGGCCCATGATGGGAGCTTGGTAAATGTCTGAATGGCTTTTCCCCAGGACAGGGGAAAGTATCCTGTCGCTGCTGAAGGATCCCTCCAAAAGGAAGGTTCCACCCCAGCCCCTCACAGCCAATCATATCCTTTAAGTCATGGGAAGGTAAGTCTTGCCCTCTCCAGGTGCAGACAGGGTCCCTGGTCAGGTGGCCCTGGATGGCTGGTGACCTGGGGAGGGAAAAGGAGGCACCAGTAAGAGCTACAGGGCTTATTCTTAGAGTTCCTGCTCTGTACCAAACACTGTGCTGAGCATTTACGTATTTTAGCATGTTTATTCATAATTTTAAATATCATTGAGTTATCATTATGAGTGTGCATCCTCTGCCTGGTGCTGTGCTCAGAGGTTTATGTACATTCTAACATTTAAAGCTCACAGGAGACCCTGATACAGGAAGGTGTATTTATTATCCTCACATACAGAGGCAACATTCGGGCTTTAAGAGGTTAAATAACTTACCAAGGTCACCCAGCTAGGAACGATGGACTCATTCGGCTTTTATGGCCCTCGGTATCACTCTCCACCTTAGATTGAGGAGCACGTCCAGAGGTTAAGAAACTTGTCCAAAGATACGCATCTGGGAATGGTAGAGCCAGGGGGCGATCTGATCCCAAAATTGTTCCCCCTCTGCTTTGGAACCTCCCTGCCTGACCCCACCCCCAGCCCGTCCCCTCTGCTCTTGCCCTTGGCCTTGACCACTGCATACAGATCGTTTCCACCCTCTTCACCTCCAACTTCATTGGCATCTGCTTCAGCCGTTCTCTCCACTACCAGTTCTATGTCTGGTATTTCCACACACTGCCCTACCTCCTGTGGGCCACACCTGCACGCTGGCTCACACACCTACTCAGGTACCGGCTGGGACAGCCTGAGGGGGGTAAGGGTTAGGATTAGGGACCATGGAGGGGCTGGGGCCTAGAAACTGGACAACCTCTGGAGCTTATTTCTCATCTCCAGGTTGCTGGTGCTGGGGCTCATCGAGCTCTCCTGGAACACATACCCATCCACGTCCTGCAGCTCTGCTGCCCTGCACGTGTGCCATGCTGTCATCCTGCTGCAGCTCTGGCTGGGCCCCCAGCCCTTCCCCAAGAGCGTCCAGCACAGCAAGAAAGCCCACTGAGACCACCTCTGCCCCATTCTCAGGATGCTGGACGTGGATGGACTCTGTGCCCTTCCCAATAAACCTTACCAAGTCCACTTCTGTGCAGCCTACATGGAGGTGCCTAGACCAACTAGCGAGGGGTATGCATGCGACAGATAAAGAACTCGTTCAGGTGGTATTAAGAGGCACTTTATTGCATAGGTTTTGGGGGCTGTGGCTCTCTCCTCTTTTACCGCACTGTACAGAGTTCAGAGGGGAAGGAGCAGGGGGTAGAAGGAGTGGGAGAGAGCACAGGCAGGCACTTTCTGTGGGAGATGAAGGGTTTTGGAAGGGGATGAGAAGCAGTGGGGGGCAGGCTGGCACCAACCTACTCCTTCCCGGCACCGAGAAGCCGGCCCGGGTGGCAGTGACTTGACTCTGTTGCGGGGGCGCCACCCCAGCAGTGGGCAGCCTTCACATGTTCGCCGGGCTGTAACACAGCAGGTGTAGCTGCAGGTTCTGGTCCCAGTGACGCAGCAGCAGGAAAAGACCCCGGGCTGCAGCCTTGAGCGCGGCCAAGTCAAGGCCATCGGGCAAGTGCTGTGCCCGCAGCCAACAGTCCGCCTTAGCTGCTGCCAGTTCCCACTCACCGAAGGCAGCGGCACAGCGGTGCTCCAGCCACGCTAGTGCCACTGCTGTGGCCCAGGTCCGGCCCCGCAGGTCAGCACCACTCGGCCCGTCTGCCCCCTCTGAGGCCTCCGTGTCTGAACCCTGCCCACTGTCCACCTGGCCTGGACCCTCGGAGCCTGAGCTGGGGGTCGGGCTGCAGGAGGCCGTGGCACTGTCTCCCTGGCTGACACCAGGGCCAAGAAGTGCCCAGGGAGAGGAAGCTGAAGTGGGGCTAAGGCTGGCCCGGTGCACGGCGAAGGGTGAGGCGCGGCACAAGCGCTCCTGTGGGATGTGCACCGCAGTGCAGAAGGGTGCATCCAGGCGGAAGGAGCCAGGTGCCTCCTGCAGTCGCACCTGAGGAGAGAGGAGGTGGGGGGAGGAGTGAGCTGAGACCGTGCCCTGGCCCTGGCAACACCACCCTCCACCTCCCGAGTCCTCACCAAGGGCAAGTAGTCATGGTTGCTGCCTTCACTGTTGCCGTCACTGGCCTGGCCTGTGTTGGGGCTGCAGAGTCTACGGCTGTCTGGGCCTCTGGGCTTCCGATGGCCCAGGCTGAGCTTCAGAGGCGGCTGAGGGGACACGGTATGAGGACCTCGGGTAGGGGTTACAGGATCCTCCAAAGCAGACGTGGAGTTGTCCTTCTGGTCTGGATGTGAGCCACTTGCCAGAGAGCCTCCCTGAAGGCCTGCAATGGAGCCAGTCAGTGTCAGTGGTGACCCCTAAGCTCGGGCGCTCCCTGCCATTTGCCCAGAGTTGAGTGTTACCTTTACAATGGACAACTGTGGGCAGAGCTGCATCTCGGTGGCCTTGAGAGGCGGGAGGGGTGCCTGGGGGCTCTACTGGCTCTGCAGGGGCACAGAAGACGGGGCTGAGGTTTGTCTGGGCGTGTGGCCAGAGAGGTGAGGGCCAGCACCTGAGAGGTCACTTGGGAGGGACTCTACCTGAGCTCCGCACCTGCAGCACTGAGGGCAGGACCTCCCTAGTGGTAGCGTCCACAGCTACAGGGCAGGTGAAGCAGGAAGGGGCAGAGCTGACCTTGCTTGTCTGAAGGGCTCGGAGCCAGGACCTCCGGGCATGGCCTGTGAAACCAAGGAGCAGTTTGCTGACCAGGAGGGGGTGCACTCCCACCACCCACCCTCTACTTAGGGCTTCACAGAAAAAATGTCTGTTCCCACAAGCTTCTCTGTGCACTTTTGAACAGAGTAGAGTTTCTCAGGATCAGGACCAGCTTGAACTCTCCAACTGTGGCAAGAAGTGGTGAAGCTGAACCCTTAATCCAGTGGTTCTCAACCTTCTGGCCCTTTATTTTAAAAAATATATTTTATTGATTTTTTACAGAGAGGAAGCGGGAGGGATAGAGAGCTAGAAACATCAGTGAGAAAGGCTATGCAGCGTCTTTTTTTTTTCTATTATGATGCATTAATTTTCATTTAAGGCAGTGGATCTCAACCTTCTGGCCCTTTAAATACAGTTCCTCATGATGTGACCCAACCATAAAATTATTTTCGTTGCTACTTCATAACTGTAATGTTGCTACTGTTATGAATCGTAATGTAAATATCTGATTTGCAGGATGGTCTTAGGCGACTCCTGTGAAAGGGTTGTTCGACCGCCAAAGGGGTCACGACCTACAGGTTCAGAACCGCTGCCTTAATCCATAGCAGGGCTAGGCCTCTTGGCCACCCAGAAATTCAACATTCTGGACACCACTCAGGAAGCATGGACCAGCGCCTTTTCCATCCGCTCATTTCAGCACTGTCCAATAGAACTTCCTGTGAGGAAGGAAATGTTCTATATTTATATGATTCAATATGGTAGCCGTTAGTTATGTGTACCCATTAAGCACTTGAAATGTAGCTAGTGTAACTGAGGAACTGAAATTTTAACTTTATTTGGTTTTAACAGTCTTCCTGAATGACATTTGTTTTTATGTTATGGGCCCTAGAAATCCTTACAAGATCTCATTTCCCTCTATTGGCTGCTAAGAAGCTTGCCAATTTTGGGTCGCATACTTGCAAAGGCACATAACCTTATGGTGTGCATCCTATCTAATAAAAGCCTAATATGCTAAGTGTCCAGTCATCCATTCAACCAATCAAAGCATGATATGCTAAGGCCGCTCAACTACTCGCTATGTTGTGCACTGACCACCAGGGGCCAGATGCTCTGACTTGTAGGTTAGCTTGCTGCTGGGGTCCAGCCAATCAGGCCTGAGCAATATGGGCTGGACATGCTCTGGAGTCCTTCCATGGTCCCTCCCTGGCAGGCAACCTCCCATGCCCCTCCCCAGCCCCGATCGTGCACCAGTGGGGTCCCTTGGCCTGGCCTGTGCCCTCTCACAATCTGGGACCCCTTGGGGGATGTCAGAGAGCTGGTTTTGGCTCAACCCCACAGGCATAAAAGGCTAGTATGCAAATCAACCAAACTGCAGAACCACCAGTTGCTATGATGCACACTGACCAACAGAGAGCAGACACTCAATGCAGGAGCTGCCCCCTAGTGGTCAGTGTGCTCCCACAGGGGGAGCACCACTCAGCTAGAAGCTGGGCTCATGGCTGGTGAGCGCAGAGGCGGTGGCAGGAGCCTCTCCCGCCTCTGTGGCAGTCGGACATCCCCCAAGGGCTCCCAGTCTGCAAGAGGGCGCAGGCCAGACTGAGGGACCCACCCCCCACTTCCCCAGTGCACAAGTTTCATGCACCAGGCCTCTTGTCTTTAATAAAACCTCATTCTCTCCTTCCTGTTATCCTTTTTATCCCATTGCCCTGCTTAATTTTTCCCCTTGTCAATGTGGATGAGCCATCTCAAACTGTTTATGTGCAAGGTGAGGTATAGAGAGTGACCAAACAGACCCATACCTCTGCCCCTCTGCCCCATACAGGCCCCTTGGGCCCACCAGCAACTCACCCCAGTCAGCCATGGTCTCAGCCCCTCGGAGAGCCAGTTGCTCATTGTCCCGGACCACAGAAGCTGCTGTCAGCCGGTGGAGTGCTTGGTCCCAAGCACCTTCTCTCTCGTGGGGTGATGGAGGCAGGGAGCCATCGTCCCCAGGCCCCCAGAGTGTCTCCAGCCCAACACCCACCTCCCAGCACATAGGCTGCTCCCCACACAGGGCCCGGATCACCACGTGGCAGCGTGGAGCCTGTGGAGGCAGTGACACTGCTGGGGGTGCGGATTCCCCATCAGGGGGGACAGCCGTGAACAAGAAGGGTGGTTCCATCAACATGTCCCAGTCCATGGGCGCTGGGGAGAGCAGGTTTCCTGAGGAGACAATGGCAGGGACAGGCGGTGTGTGCCCTGGGCTCCACCTTCCCAAGGCCTCCTTGGTGTCAGAATCCAACTCGCATCCAACCTTTACCTGAGTCATCCAGGCCTTGTCCCAGCTGCTGCCCCGACTCAGGGCCTGGCCCATCTGGGGCTGCACCCAGAGAGGGGTGCCGGGGACGGCCAGGGACTGGGTTCGCCTGGCCGGGGGGTGAGGAGAGGCTTCGGCCAGCCAGAGCCGCTCTGTGTTGACGGTTCAGCTCCTCAGCACTCAAGGCCCCAGTCTGCATGTGACAGGGGGGATCCATTGGCCAAGGAATGGAGAGCTCCTGGCCATCGCACATACACACACAACTGGCCACATGTCCTTTGTCTGAAACCCTGAGTGGCAGTTAGGAAACGGCCAGGCTCCCATGGCCCCCGGCCCCGCCCAGTCATGTCACTCTACACACTATTTCTCACTGGAGGTTACTTGTCTTTGTTTTTGTTCAGGCCCTGTCCCTCTTTGTCTGGCTCACTTCTACTTATTTTTCCAGATATGGCTCTTGCTTTCCCAACTCCCTGAGACAGGGTTAGTCACCTGAACTCTAAGTCCCCATAGCACCGTGTCCCTGTGCTCATCCCTGTATGTTGCATGGCATCATTATAGATTTACCCACCCAGCTCTTCAGCTAGACTCAATGTAACCACTGCACCATGTATGGCATACAGCAGATGGCCGAGAAGTGCTGCTGGATGTATGGTAAATGGATGTGGATTGAATCTCACCTTGACTGGTGCCAGTGGGGGTGGCGGCAGGGGGCAGGAGCGGCAGCCCTGCTGCGAGGGGGGGTCCAGGGGAACACTGCCCTCAGGGGAGCCAGGGCCCTGGGAGCCAGGGGACTCGCTGCTGCCTGCGGAGCCCGGGCCTGGCTCCGGGCTGGCGGAGCAGTGAGTGAGCACATACTGCTCCCGGATGTACGAGGACTGGAAGATGCGACGCCATATGGCTGTGTCAGAAGAGGGGTTCGGTCCGGGGTCCGTGACTGGGTCTGTCAGAGCATCAGTACCTAAGGGAGGCAGGAGAATGGACCCAGCCCTGGCCCCTCCCCTTGCCCATTCTTCCAGCACAGCCACACACATACACCCAGCACTCACTCTGCTCTGAGTCTCCAGCAGCCCATGGACTGGACAGCTCTCCTGGCACAGTGCCTGTTCCCAGTGGCTCTGAGGTGCCAGTGGGCTCAGTGCCAGCACTGGTGGCAGAAGGCACCTCCTCTGGGGATGGGAACATGGAGCCGCCCAAGCTCTGCCAGCCAGGCTCTTGGCCCTAGAGAGGAATAGTCATTGGGGGAAAGCCAGACTGTAGCTCTATGCTACCTCTTTCCAAACAGGACCTAAGATGGCTAACGGCAAGAGGCAATGAAGTTAATAAACCAGAAATGAGAGCCCAGTTCTCCGGAAGAGGAAGCATCCATGCTCACCACGGGGTTAATAGAGCTTCTGTGGCTGAGCGTCCGGTCTGGCCCTGAGCTTCCCGGCAACCAGGCAAAAAGGCAAACAGTCCGTTATCAAAGAGGGAGAAGCATGCTTAGTTCTAAAGAGAGAAAGCTTTTCATAATAAAAATAACTGCCACATCTCTAACTCCGATGTGTCCCATATTCTACCAAGAGCATGTATACTAGTATTATGACCTCGAATTACAACAACCCTATGAAAAAAAAACCTGTTTGAGGAAATGGTCTTCAGAGAGGTGAAGTGACTTGCCCAAAATCAAATGGCTAGTACCTGGCAGAGTATGGGATCCTCACCCCATAACAAAGAAACAGAATTTCCACAGGATGAGGCCCAGAAATTAGGATTTTAAAAAAAGATTCCCACGTGATTCTAATGTGCAGCAAGGTTGAGAACCACTGATCTAGACTGTGCTGTGCCTGTCCCTGAATGTTACAGGAAATAATCGGATGGTGCCTTCTGTAGGGCACTGAGGGAAGGAGTGAGCAAATTTTGACAAAAACCTCAGAGCAAATGCTGGAGCTGTTCTCTGTGTCTGAGTGGCGAGTGACCTGTGGTAAAAGCCCAGGGCTACACTTTACAGGACAACTCAGTGGAAGACTCAAGAGGAGGCAGGTGGCAGTCACCCTGGAGGGCCCAGTGTGGTCTCTGAGGAGGCCTGGAGGTGGTAGGAGAGTTGGCAGAGTGGCACGGGAAATGGAGGAAGGGTTTGGAAGAGATGCAAGGGCTTCAGCCATCCCAGGCCCACTGTCCGCACCCCAGCCCAGGCCTACCCCAGGGGGGTGAGGCCGGAAGCCATCCACCCTGAAGAGTGAGCAGTAACCGAGCAGCTGGTCCCCGGGGTAGAGGGCTGGGATCTCCCGGGGCGTCAGCAGGGCCTCCACCGAGTCTGGCACAAACCAGTCCACAGAGACGTCGCTCAAAGCCGGCTCCAGTGCCTTGCGCAGAGCCCGCACCAGCTGTGAGGAGCGGCCATGGGAGAGAGAGAGGTGCCACTCAGCTGACAGCAGGAAGGCTGCCCTTCCCATCTGCCTCGTCTCTGGTTGAGGGGAGCAGGGTCAGGCTGGGGTCAGGAGAAGGAATGGGGGCAGGAACAAGCAAGGGGACTGAGAGCTCAGGCCTCCGGGCTTGGCCTGTCTCTTGGCCTGAGCTCTACCATGTGAATGAGAAAAGGCTTATTGGGCTATGACTCAGCACCAGGACACAACTGAGAATAATATTTGGGGGTGGTCTGAAGCTGTGCTCCCCTCACCTTTAGCCCCCTGATGCATCCCACAGCAACACCTGTAGCTCCTCCCCTGATTGGCATCTCAAGGGGGAGTAGGGATTGGAGTGGGGGAGAAGCCAGGAGACCCCACAACGGGACTGGGTCTGCTTCAGCCTCAGTGTCACTTGGGAGAAGGACTTGGGGAGTAGGGAAGAGGGCCCAGGCTTGAGCTCACCAGCGGCTGCAGCCTCTCCCCAGGCCTCAGGAAGTAGGACCGGCCCCTGCTGAGGGCAGACAGACCCTGGAGCAGCTGGTGGCAGGCAGGCCAGAGCCCGAAGCAGAAGCACCTGAGGAAGGAAGGGAGGCAGTGTGACCTTCAGAGCCTCTGAGGGGGTGCATCTCAGTCACCTGTCTCTGCCCCCCTCGTACCTGGCCGCCCCCCTGTGCCACCTCATGAGCTCCAGGGTTTGGTGGGTAGTGGCGGCCACGGGTGAGGCCGCAGTGAGCAGGAACAGCTGCCGAGGGTGGGCCCTGTGCTGGGGCTGCCTCAGGGCCCAGTCCAGCGCAGCCAGCACATCTGGGGGGCCTCCCGCAGCCTGCAGGGTCTCAACGCTCTCACAGATGAGCCTCACAGCGTCCTGCAGAGAGAAGGCACAGGCTGGGTGCACTGAGCTGAGCATCTCCACTAGGCCCCCAAATTCCTGGACCACACTCACATCACCGCAAAGCCTGCTCTCGGGGAAGAGGGGCTGCACTGCTGTGCCAAACGTGGCCAGGTTGATGAGAGTCTGGGACGGGAGGGACTTCACGGCCAAGACAAGGGCATCCTGGGGAGGGGCAGAGAGGATGGTGTGAGGCAGGCCCCTGGGCACTGGTGGAGAGAAAGGGACACAGATGACCTGCCTCTGCAGGTTGTGTATAAAATGAGGGCCTGGATGAGGATCTGGGAGAGGCCCTGTGTGTGAGAGACTGTGTGAGAAAGACTGTGAGTGAGAATGGAGAGTGTCGGGGAGACGTGTGTCTGTGACTCTGCAGGTGTGTATGACACTTGGCTTTGAGATTAGGTGACAGTCCAACTTTATGTATGAGATAGGCTCTTGGGATCTGGGAGAGATACCTCTGAGTGTGTGTGTGTGTGTGTGTGTGTGCATGTGTGTGTGTCTGTGCCAGACCTACTGCCCCAGGCCTGCCCCGCCATGCCCCCCACAGGCCTTGTGTGCGACAGCGCTGCCATCCAGCAGGAAGAGGAGCTCCCGTGTTGCTGTGCCCAGGTGTCCAGGCTTGGAGCT